TTTCTTATTTCTGGGCTTTATATTTAATGCAGTATGCATCTTAACAGATTTAAATTACATTCAAGCATTTCACTTTGAAAAATTGTGAAACATTTCAACAAACTAAATTAACGTCATATGTTAGGAGGTTTTAATTCTTCATTTTCATTTTCCTCAGTCAGAACTGTCATTTTATGATGAAGAAAACATTCAGATTTCTGAGCAACTTTATTCAGATCACCAGCTGGCTGGGCATTACTAGCAGGTTATTGGAATTTAAGGGGCTCATCCTGTACATTTTTTCTAATGAGGATCTGCATGTGTTCAGCACACCTCTAGGAAGCTCAGTGATTAGATTTTCTAATCCACAATGCAAGCATTATTAGACACACACACATTTGTATTGAAAGTCCTCCCAAATTATTAAAAAATAGCATTTATGGAAGGACTCGAGACTAATTGGATGATAAAGCATGATGCTTCTAGTTAGAGACCTGCATAAATCACAGCCACTCTGACTGTGGCAATGAGTGTTCTGCAAGAATCTGGACTGACAGAAACTAGACACAAACCCAACCACTTCCAGCAGCCTCATTACATACTTTTCTTACATGCACAGGTGAATCAATATGAAAAGTTGGTGCTGCAAGGGGAACAAGTTAAGACAGTTTGAACATCTTACCTGCAGTAATCCACCCTTGCAAAAGTTTGATTTCTTAGGTTTAATTTTATCCCTACATTTTCTGAGTTTTTAAATTAAATAAGCACATTTATTTTATCATATTTTGCAAGGGAAAGGTTTGCTGTGAACTTCTGTTCCCACCTTCATCATATTGAAACTTCTTGATGGAATAGGAACTGCTTAATTGAAACCAGAATTAGATAAATGACAGCAATGGGCAAAGGACAGTCACAAGCTTCTCCCCAGCTTTGGCCAATGCTTTGCTTCGAATGAGCACTTGCACTTCCGTAAAAAAAAGTCTTAGAATCTGCCTTTTTTTTTTAATTTCTGTAAAAATAGTGACCAGAAACAGTTTTAGAAAAATAACTGTACACACAAAACATTTTCTATTTCTTCTGCTACGGTCTATCTGTATCCTTGATTGAAGTGCCTAGAAGAGGTGTGGTAGCACAACAGAGGAATGAGAACATTAGCTACAATTTCTTTGTAATTGTGCCCCACAAAGGTTATCAGCTGCAGGTCTTGTTTCTCTAATGTATGGAAGCTAATGGGTGTGAGGTTTTTGCATGAGAGCTGGTTTTCATTTACATGTGTCATGGTTCATCTTTGATTTTTAAGACAAAAGGAAATGGGGTGGAGGTGAAGAAGCCTCTAACATCCCTTAGGAAGGTGACTATGAGTTGCTTGTTGCCTAACAACTAACTCTTTCCTGACTCAAGCCTTCCCGGTATGAAATACCTGTTTTTTAAGCTCAAGTCAGAGGAAGGCAAAGGCATCTTTGACTCAAAGCTGGCACTGGTATTGAATTTCCTAAATTAGTTCGAAGTTTAAATTGCTACTTGCCATAAAGCACTATTCCTTTTGAGGCAAACATGACCTTTTCACAAGACATGCATTTAGGGTAGGCTTGACTTCACCTAAATTAAGTAACCTGTAAGTTAGACTTCTAGTCAAAGCTGGTTGCCTGTGTGCTCTGTGTACTGAATGGAGGAAAAAGCAAGCATGGCAACTGCAGGTAGAGTCTAAGCCCCTCTACATTGGATTCTTCTGAGGAAGCCTAAGTGTCCAGGTCATACTTAGAATCATAGAATCATGGAACGGTTTAAGTTGGAAAGGACCTTAAAGATCATCTGGTCCAACTCCCCTGCCATGGGCAGGGACACCTCCCATCAGACCGGGTTGCTCAAAGCCCTGTCCAACCTGGCCTTGAACACTTCCAGGAGGAGGCATCCACAGCTTCCCTGGGCAACCTGTTCCAGTGTGTCACCACCCTCACAGCAAAGAATTTCTTCCTAATATCTAAGTCTAAATCTCCTCTCTTCCAGTTTAAAACCATTCCCTCTCTATCACTTCTATCACTACCTCCCCTTGTAAATGGTACTTGACACCTCACTTCTGAGTGACTGAAGATGAGGTGAATCCCACCTCGAGTAATCAGTATATCCTCTTTAATGACTTGTTTCCAAAGTCACTGATGCTGAGGGAACCTGACATTGAGGAACTTAGTTGTGTTGTTAACATGTGATTCACCCTGTCACAATGCGAAGCTGAAAAACACCCTTGGGCAAAAGCTCTATTAGCATATAAATGAAAAATCCTATCATAGAATCATTCAAATTATAAAGAAGAGGTTTTGCCAGAATCAGAGTGACAAATATGATGCTGCAAGTACCAGTATGAGTACAAACTTCCTGCCATATTCCCGTTTCGGATCACCTAAAGCCCCTGTGATCATGGACGGGACAGCTTGACTTGGGACTGCTGCTCATAAAGCACAGGTTGTGCAGTGGTAGCTCATGCCCAGGCTTATTAAGGGAGAAATATTAAGTTGGGTTTTTGACAGAACCCCAGGCTCCAATCTGTGGTAGCAGGTGCTTCATAAGCATCTGAGACATGTCTGGGACAAACGGGGAAAGTCAGGGGGAAGAATAGAAAGAAGAGAACTGCTACAGCTATCTGAAGGTTATGCACTCACAACTTGTGGAGCAGAGCCCCAGAGGTCAAATGATACTGTCTCCGTTTAAGGCTCAGGGCAAACCCAGGGAGCAGGATTTTCCCTCTATTGTTCCCTACCCTCCCAGGGAAGGATTAAAAAGAAGGGAATAGAGAAAAGATGCTTCACACAAAGTTGGAAGTTAAGACTATAATAAGTTAAATGAAAAACAATAGGGGAAAAGAAAAGGGAATTAATAAGGGACAAAGGATATTTAACTATATACAAAACCCAATCCCAGTAGTCCCGAGTGGAAGTGTCTGAGCAGTGCCTCGTGGCTGCTGTGACCGCTGTGACTCGTCACCAGGGACCATAGTGGTGTAGGGGAGCGGATGGTGGTGGATGCTGCTGAGCACATGGAGGTAGGCCCAGGCGTTCCAAGATGCGACAGGAAGCAGCCCAGAAAACCAGGAAAAGCACCAAAAACCTCTGGTCTCCTCAGATTTTTATAGGCTGTGGCCGGAAAGCGGAGGGAACAGAACTGATCTCAGACCCCCCAGGGTCCTACAGACACCACCTGTCTTCCCTTTCAGGCTGGTAACCCTTAAACCATAACAGATACCTTTAGTGCAGCTCAAGAAGCAGAAAAACTATGCCAGGCCACACATAGATACCCATATTATGGCAATTCTCAGGTCTATCTGTCATCTGGTGAGCTACTGGTGAGATGTAGATCACCCAAATTTGTTCTGCCTTGAAGTGGATGTCATTTGAGGCTTTTTTCTGTAATGATTTTTCTGTTTCCTCACTAGTCTGATAGTGTCTAAGACTATAATCAACATGACCTAAAAGTGCAACAACTGAGGTAGGCAAAATTTAACATTTGCTAAGAGCAAATAGAAGATCAGCTAGATTGTGTGTTTGCTTTTGACCTTTCTCAGTTGTTCACAATGATAACCCTTTTCAACCTCTTTCCCATCCTTTCCAGCTCCTTTGCAGCCTACAGACTCTCCTTTATGTCTCATCCCTCTATCATGGGCTTTTTCATATCATGCCCTAGCCCCTCTTGCCCCTCTTGTCAGCAGCACAATTCCCCGTCAGATTTCCCAGACCACCTTTCTGAACACGGGATCCAGCTTCCCTGAAAGCCCTTCTGTTTTACTCCTGATAAGTATCTTTACTAGAAAGAGCCACCTTCTACTCCCCAGGGTTACAGAAAGATGCAGCTAATGTGACTCATAGCAGTATGATGCTTCAGGCATATTAAAAGTAATAACACATGATGGGCCATCTAAATAAGAGTAAAAATGTTCATGTCAGAAATTGAGAAATCATAGCAATCTCCATGACAGCAATGACAGATATCACGCATAAGAATCAGGCTGTAATATGGCAATGGCTGTGTAACTTGATCTGATTCACGTTGTTGCTACTGATGACCCATATGCCCTTTATTTTAATAGGATAAACATATTGGTCATAATGAGAAAGATATGTATTTATCCGTAATTCAAATATGAACACACTAGGACAGAAAAAGCTAAATGGCTTGAGAAAATTTGGGCAATAAAGTTAGATCAGCAGAAAAAGAGGTATTTTTGTCCACCAGGAGTATTATATCGCTTTCAGGAGGGCACTGTATGCTCTTTCCCATGACAAATACAGAGTATAGATATTTGTTGTTACATATAGTCTGAATTTATCCGCTCAGAAAAAAATTACTCAGAAAAAAATGAAATTCAGGAAATATTTCAGAAACAGACAAATACTGTCAGTAGCTCAGATTTGCAAAGTTATTTGGTCTGGTTATTCTTACACAGAACATAACCACTCTTCTGAAAAATTTGACTTGCAGGTGACCTGTGCATGTGTATAAGTGCAATACTTCATTACTGAGCTTATATATAAGGATCTTAAACTAGTCTTTCTTTTTTAAGGCATGCTCTGCCTAGGTTTCTAGTTCTTACCAGCATCACCGTAGTCTCCTATCAAACACTAAAAGACATAGGGACTGCTAAAGCAACTTATCCTGAAGTAACTGGCTTCTAAGCCTTTTCAGCTGTAGTAAGTTAACAGTATCTTCATATCGTAATGAAATCAGCAAGTGCTGGTGGGGTATGTCTTTGAGTTTCCTTTTCTTGTCCAACACATGGGACATCATATGCTGTCATCAACTTTAAATTTCCAGTGTTCATTGCAGTTAGCTCTGAGGGGTAAAGTATATTACAAGAATCTAGTCCATGCATAACACTGTTGGTCACCAGAGTGCGTATGCTGGATATAGAGAGAGAAATGTGGTTTCCCATGAGAACTGTTATTTAAGAGTCCCTTGCAGGATCAAGGGACTGCAATACAGGTGACAGGTTTGCCACTAATTCTGGCAGTTCCTCAAAGCCTTTCCCATTGCTAAGCAGGATCCGTTTGTTTCCTCAGTGTAAGAGCAAGCATGGTACCTTTCTGAGTGCATTGCCCTTTCAGTCAAAAGCAGCATAGCCAGTGTTTCAGCAGGCATCAGGAGACTGCTTTTCTCAACTTGGCAATGGCTCAGGTTTTTGTATGATAAAATTCCTAACATTTCTGTCATATTCTATGCTACAGAAGAGGGCAGGACAGTGCACTGTGAGACCAGAGGCCACATCTGAAGCAGTACTGAAAAAAAATGAAATCTCTCCCTCCTCATTAACCTAGAGAGACAGAAACAGCCAAGAGACACTGCAGCTCCCTTCTCCTCCACAAGCCGGGGCAGATGGCTGTCTCCAGTATGAGAGCCCTGGTGAGAAAACACAAGGTATAGGAAAAGGAGATCTGTAGGCAAGGCATACCCAACCGAGGAAAGGCTGCCAGGCTATGTGAGCATTTCCCATCCCACTTGCAGGCTGAAGAGAAAGAGGAAGTACAGGGTAAGGTGATGTACTCACTCCAGCTAATCTTGCAGTACTGAAATTCCTGGTTTGAAATTGCCTCTTTCTTGAGTGAGAAAGGCCTGGCTGTTGCAGAAGCTCTTGCATCCAGTGTCTTTCCCCATGTGCAGAAGCCATGTCCCCATTGCCATGTTGACTTCAAGCCTTGTGACTCATTGTGCAATCTGAAGAGGTGTGCATGGAAGTGTATCTTGCCCTATATACAGCGTGTTGTCACAGGGAGGATGAAGTGCCAGCCTTTCCAGGGCACCTGGTAGGTCATGCAAGCAGTGCTTAACAAACCCAGGCTCTGCTGGGAGTCACACAGACACCCCACAAACCTGCATTCTGTGCCATCTGACGTTGCATCTGTTGCCAGCTACGCATGGGACATGATCTTAGTGATGCTACGTGTGTGATTCTACATGGCTGCTAACAAAAGAAAGCCATTTCTCAGGGAGCTCCAAAAGGCCTGGCAGTTGGGAGAACTTGAGGTTGGTAAGCAGAAGAGTTCAGCTATGATTCCACATGCTCCTACTGAACAAACTACAAACTCGTGCAGGAATCTGGCATGGCCACTTGCTCACAAAAGGGTTGATCACAAAGATTAAATGATGTTAACAGCTCCACATGGAAGGACTTTAAAGAAACAATTGCAAAACATCTTAAGGAAGTGTTTCAGAAATGCGTAAGGAAAGAAACATTCTCCAGGAGATTGAGATAGGCAGCTATGTAAGTACATCCTATTACATGCTAAATTAAATCACCATTGCAACATGATACTGTGTTAAAACTCACAGACATCAAAGACAAGCATAACTCTTAGGTCAGGTCAAGAAAACACAGATTAAAGAAAGACAAATTTGAAGTAGCAAACATTGCTGAATATCCATTATAACAAATGTAAGGGAACTACATGTTACTGAAGCATGTGGAAACCTGTCTAAACAGCAATTGTACGCAACTCTGACATGGTTTTGATATTTTGACCTCATGTGATGTAACGACTAAAACCTACTCAATTAGATCACGTTGCACATCTGTGCACATGTATCTACAACATGAAAGGAAAATTAATTATTCCTTTTATTTCCACAAGTCCAAGACAATGATAAGGTCAGACTAGCTGTTGGTAAAGAAACCTGTGTGATTGACAAAGAGGAGTAAGTATTATTTTGGTGGCTCAACATTGCAGCTTCATGCTAAAAGCAAGTAGGAAAGGTCAGGGTGGGCTGAAAGATGTCCCTGGTGGCATAAATATCTGTTCCTGCTGTAGCTGAGGAAATCCCAGTGGTATGATGTGGGCTATCACCATTTCACAATTTTGGCTGAAAGCATGGCCTCTTTCAGAGGTGATAAGGCGGCAGCATTTGTACGTGAAAAAGCAATGCACAAGGCATGGGAAAAAGGAAAATAACAAAACTTTCAAAGTAAATCATAACTCATAGAATATAGAAAAGATACGATTTCCAAGGGCGACAATAGAAAGTATATATACACTTATGTATATATGGAAATATAAAGGAAATTTGTATGAGGAGAAAGCAAAATCCTATGAAAGGTTTATACTCATTATTTCATAGAGATAGCAAAATAATTAGTAGTGACGCA